TATCCTTCGCCCCCCCCTCTCATTCCTTGTTTGCTGGAGTTATGTTATGTAGTCCGCGGAACTCACCAAGGTCGTGCAGCTGGTTGTAGGAGGAAAGCTTCGCCTAGAATGTTTTGGGTATCTAGCATGTGAACTGAACCTGTGTTGACATTATAGAACTGTTACGTTCCCATGCAATGGGCGCGAATTGTATGTTCTATTCCCGCCAGCGGGAAATGGGCTCATTGGTCCTTACCTGGTTCAAATGTCTATATTATGCCTTCCCTGGTTACCTGTAGTTATTCCTAACAATGTCCTGTTCTGGTTAAACCAACGCTTTGAAATAAACCTTGCTTTGCTCTTCAACGTGGAGTTATTTTGAATGCTTGGGATCCAACAAGCATAATCTTTCAGAATATAGACACAACCAGACTAATTCTCCAAGCCCAGCTAGCACGACACTGACATTAGCTTTACAAAGGGAGAGCAGCAAGATGTATACATGCTCCTCTGGTCTTTTTGCCCTACAAAACTACAGAACACAGTTAGTGTGTGTGCAGGGGCCTTATAATAATCTGTTGTGGATCAGTTCCCTCCAATGCTGTTCTCAGCAATTTCCGAGCCATTTAGAACTTCTGAGCAAACACTGTCTGCTTTTGTTTCAGGTGAGTAGTTGTGTTGTTCTGCAACAGAGGAGCATGATTTGAGCCCATCAAGATTTGAGTGCAGTAGAAGAGCAAGATTTGAGTCCCTTCTAACAAAGGGAGCTTTGACTCTCTAAACCTGGAAACCTTGGTCTTTAAAGTGCCACTGGACTTGAATCTGGATGTCTGCTCTTGATAAGTTGTACCTACTCTCCAAATCTACTCTAAAACCCCTTCTTGAAAAACGTGGCACACCTGTGATGACTGAAATCAAACTGAAAGTTACAACAATGGTAATATTGAGCAGCAGCTGTATATTCACTGGTGTGCTCTGATTAGTGCCACAAACATTGTTCAGCACGCAAGCAAAGCACCAACAGGGCCTTAAAGGGAGGATTCTCAGGCACAGTCTGCCATCTGGTGGAATACAAAACTAAAGATCCACTTTTCGGTCAACCTACAGTCTTACAAGATGACCACATTTTAGGGTTTTAAAAAAATATTTGAATAGAATTTAATATCTGAATCTGTTTTTCTAGTAGAATCACTATTATATTTTTGTTATTATATATTTCTGATCTTTTGCTACCTGAAAAAGTGGGATTGTTAACGAACTTACAAGGCTAAAGAAGCCTGTAGTTCCACCTAGGAGGAAGCAATTAAAATGTTTACCAAACAGAGGTTCAGAAGGCAAAGATGGACCAACTCTCAGCATTAGATGATAGTTAATACTATGTCCAGAGTTTACAATTTCACACCTATATAATGATGTAGTTGGGCAGCAATATTTCTCATAGTTTTGCAATCCTATAAACGATTCTGAGAGGAAGAACTGGATCATACCATGCAAATTCTTGATGTGAATGCTGAATTAAGATACACATTGAGTGCAATCAACCAGCAGATTCAGCCAGAGTTTTGCACAGACCTTCCTGGTGGAGTGTGCCCTGTGAGGTTAAGGATTTCAGATTTATTCAGTGGGGCATGCCATCTGCTGTACCTCCCTACTTTTATTCAGTTTGCCTTCTGCACATGCTTTTCCTGTACCAGCGTGCAGTAACTGGCAGGCCACATACCACGGCTTTGCAAGCTCTTCCCAACTGCAGGGAGCAGCTTCCTTGACAGCACTGGAAATGCAGGGAACAGAACTGCACGCCACACATGACCACAGGGTCTACTTCTTTCTCTAGTTAGAAAGGAACTCTATTTGGGGATTCAAACATCAAGTTGCTATTTCTCAAGTTTACTCAAGGGCTGCAATAATACCCCCTTTAAAGTGCTGGGATGAACCTCAAAGCAACAGTAAAATAAGGGTGCCGACGACGCTTGCATACCTGTAGTCCCACTTTCCAAGGGAGGTTCTTACCAACATACTCCTGAGCTGAGAATCCTACAATTCTAAACCAGAGTGTCTAAAACAAATTTCTCGTGGGACATGGGGACACAAGACTGTAAATGTACTCCAAAGACTCTTAGTATGCTTTGGCAGATAAGCCTTCATCTACAAGACTCAAGACTGAACTATTTTGTTGTTGTTCAATCGCACAGTCGACCCCGACTCTTTGCGACCCCATGGACCAGATCCCGCCAGGCCTTCCTGTCTTCCGCCATCCTCTGAAATTTGCTCAACTTCATGTTCGTTCCGTCGATGACACTGTCCAACCATCTCATCCTTTGCCGTCCCCGTCTTCTTTGACCTTCAATCTTCCCCAGCATCAGGGTCTTCTCCAGTGAGTGCTCCCTTCTCATTTGGTGGCCAAATGATTTGAGCTATACACCAGTGTTTTTACAGGGTTGTGTCTGGGTTTGTATGCTTTGGCAGATAAGCCTTCATCTACAAGACTCAAGACTGAACTATTTTGTTGTTGTTCAATCGCACAGTCGATAAGGGTGCTGACGACGCATGCATACCTGTAGTCCCATTTTCCAAGGGAGGTTCTTACCAACATACTCCTGACCTGAGAATCCTACAATTCTAAACTAGAGCGTCTAAAACAAATTTCTCATGGGACATGGGGACACAAGACTGTAAATGTACTCCAAAGACTCTTAGTATGCTTTGGCAGATAAGCCTTCATCTATAAGACTCAGGACTGAACTATATATCAGTGTTTTTACAGGGTTGTGTCTGGGTTGCCAGGACCCATCTTGGGTTTCCCATAGCCACAGCAGCCGCGGGGAACAGCTTCACCCAGATAAGCTCAGAATGCCACCATGGGGGGGTGGTACAGAAAAGGCTCCTGAGTCCCCCTCCCCAAGCCATTACTTTACGTGGAAGAGGCTTGGGGAGGAGGTATTTCCCTATTGTTGCTCCTCCAGGTACACAGTATACTCCATGAGGAGCAGCAAAAATGGGGAAATAAACCCCCCAGGGCTGTTTCCAAGTGGAAAAAAGAGCCTGGGGAGCAGGAAGGAGCCCTTCCTCCCCCAGCAACAATATTCCGAACTTGTTTGGAGTCTTCATTTTTAAAAGAAGTCGCTGTGTAGCTGTAGGGAACCCAGACCCAACTGTTTTAACGATGCTAATATGTAGTTTGGCCCTCAGAGTGCATCCCTATGCAGAGTTACACCCTGCTGAGTCAATGAATTTAGAAGGGTGTGACTTCTTAGGACTGCAGGGTCATACTAGTAGTCATGCTTGGCAAACCAAACCGTCACATCTTTCCTCAAACTAGTGATCAGGCCCCAAGCGGTTAACAGGCGGATAAAGAAATTAATTTCCCCCTACTCCCTAAGTGCCTGTTGATGTATGATGCCAGTGTTCGTGAACATGGTTCCTAGGGAATGCAGTTGCTATTTCCTGATGCAGTCATCAAATATAAAAAGAGCATGAGCTGCAAAATGTACCTACAGATGAGGAATGGGCTTGTGTTACCAGCAGCACATGAAAGATACTCCCCAAACAAGTAGATGAGTTGCTAAAAACAACCAGGAAAGAGAGATGAGATAGGAGGGCTTGAGTGAAACACGGACAATCTGGAGGGCAGCCTCCCTTTCCATTCCAAATGAACAATTTTATTTAGTGAAGTCACAGACACCGTGGAGGCAGACAAAAGAGCTGGAGGCTCTGGCAGACATTCCGGAAGCAAAATTAAATCAGAAAGCATCCATACTATCCATGGGGAGGAGGAATTTAGGCACACCACTTGAGAAATTCTTTCTAAGCTCGGTTAATGGTGATCCCACTGGCCAATATGAAGGATCTTTCCTTCTTCTCTCTTCCCCCATCCCCACCCCCCACTGTGCAAGGAGACTCTTTGCGCTCAGTCAGCCCCTTCCAAGCTTAGATGCTAAGCCCAGGAATGAGGTCAGTCTTCAAACACATTCCTTTCATTTTGTACAGTTCGAGAGTTTGCCTCAGGTCCGGGAAAGAGAGAGGTTTCCACTTCTAGAAGAGCATTCCAGGCAGAAGATGTGCTTGACTTAAAAAAATTATTCTACATACGACTTGCTGGAAATTCTTCTACACACAACTTGTGGAACTTGCTGTCATGGGATGTGGTGATGGCCAGTAACTCAGTGGCTTTAAATGGGGTTAGACAACTTCATGAAGACAGATCCATCGGTGATTACTAGCCATGATGGCCGCATAGGACTTTCATGTTCAAAGGCAGGATGCCTCTGACCAGCTGCTGCTGGAGTGGAGGGAACAGCACCAGGCGGAGGCTGCTGTGGGCCTTCCAGGCGATCTGGTCATCCAATGCGGGGATCACATTGTGCATGTTTTCTTCTGACAGCAAACACTCTGGGTGCGTTCAGACAGGGCATTTACAACGGTATAGGTGCCGGTTGGAATCGGTGTACTTACCGGCGTTCACACAGCGAACATCTGCCTTCTGTCCCTAACCGTTGCAAAGAGCTTTAAACCGTTGTATTCTGCCACTAGGTCCCCAAGTGGTGGTATCCTGAGTGCAACGGTTGTAATCGCTTTACCCCCCTCTGATCGCTCTCCACCATTCGAAAGCCCAAGGTTTCTGATTTTCGCCTGCCATTTTTTTTTAGGTCAGCAATATGCGCTTGGGCGAAGCTTCGCCCCGGTGTTTGTTTAAAAAAAAAAGAAAAGGTCCTTAGTTTAACGTTTTAGAGGAGTCCAGGACCTCAGGGAGGCCAGTTTGCTCTTTAAACCTTAAAGGTAAGTCCTCTCTTCAGGGCATGCTTTTCTGGACGGGGTGTTTTGCGCATGCTCGAAGATTGCCATTCTGTGGATGGCTGCCTATGCGCATGCACAAACTAAGTTAAAAAAATCCCAACAAACCGCCGACGCCCGCTGTGTGTGAACGGGCATACAGCAATGGGCTCCGCAGACAGGAGGTAAGTGTGATTGCGTTTCAGCCGGCATAAGCTGCAACGGTTCCAACCGATACAGTTTATGCCGGCTGAAACGCCCCGTCTGAACGCACCCAATGATACTCAAGTAACACCCTGATGGCAATCCCCGACTCCAGTAGTAAGCTGCCCATTTAGCAATAACACTTAACATACAGTGCACTGGGTAAGGAAAAGCAGACTTCCTCCAAACATTTGATAGGATAGCTTGTTCCTTACCCCAAAAGGAAAACCATTCTTCCACAATGTTGGGCACCCAGCTGTCCAAAGCATTTCCTCTTGCATGCAAGGTTCAGTCACTCAACTCATTCATTCTGCCTGGCATTTTTTAAGACAGCAGTTTAATATAGAAACTTAAGGCAGAGGGCTGCAGCCAGTAACTGTGCTGTTGACTCCCAAGGACTGCTTTCTGCTGTGGCGGCGGCGGGGGGGGGGAGGTAGTGCAAATTCAATGGCCACATTGAATACTGTTCCCCCACTCCAAGGAGTTGCCATTTCCTATGCACTCTGAGTCATTTATATATTAGCTTTCACTCCAGCCCTTTTTAGAATCACTATCTTCCACTGGAGGATCTTGGATAGTAAGGAAGCAGTTTCATCATTCACGCCCCTCTACCAATGAGGAATCTGAGACACAAAAAGAACTGCTGATTTGTCTAAAGCCATAAAGCATATGGACAGTGGAGCTAAAATGAAGATTCTTCTGTGATGCCTGGGCTCTCCAGAAAGTTTGTTCTTGGACTATAGAGCTTGGCAGGCATGGCAACAGTGAAAGCCACCAAAGCAGCTACAGGAGGTGCCCAAACAGAAAAGAAAGCACAGTTATGCCTACAGGTTAAGGGTCCTCTGGCTCCTCCTATTGCTTTGCTTTTGGGTTTGGCAGCTGGGGAACTGATGCTTTTCTATGAGGATCACATGAAAGAATGGCACAACTTTGGAATTATGGCGAAGGCCAATGGGAGGGTAGTCACACTTCCCTACATATCCCAAGAAGCCTCTATGATGAGAATCAGGAGTCGGGGGGATTCTCTGAAATGGACAGGTGTCAATAAGAAAGCTTAGGAACTGAGAACTTAGTCCAGGAACTGTGGAAAATAAGGATGCTTAGTATGTGTTTCAGTAAGGAGTAGGGAACCAGTCATAGTCACCTAAAAAACCCAGCTTTAGATGCGCCTGTCTAAATGTCTGCTTTAAACATGTCTTGCTCCAGGTGGTACCATTCAGAGATGCTGAAGTTCCACAGTTTGTCCTGGGATGCCACCAGACCTAAGTAAGTCACCAGTTCTCAACCACAACATCTAAGGCCTACATCCCCCTAGTAGGGTCCTGGATCACAACAGGAAAGAATATAATTTTTCAACCATCTCTCTCTCTCTCTTTGGTTTCTATGTCTTCTTCCTTCAGACGACTGCCTCTCACTTATAACCTTCACTCAGGCCTCTGCTTGTAGAGGAGGGACACTAGCCAGCGCTGGGATGAGGTGGGCATAGATCTCAATCCCACGAAGAAAGACCTGCTCATTCAGGAATTCATTGTGGTCATGCAGCAGCACAGGAGTGCGGTTCATGGGGGAGAATCCAATTGCTGGGTGGCCTGCCTGGAAATACAGTGCAAGGAGAAGTAACTATCATAAACAAGATCTCAACAAAATACAAGAGAAGACACCAAGTGACTGACAGACACGGGAAATAAACTTGTACTCACTGCCCTGATATAGCGACTGTCTGTGGCAGCAGGAAAGATCTCGCACTTCAGTTTCATGTTCCTAACAAGACAGAGACATCATAAGAAGCAGCTCCCACTGCTGAGTTAACCCTGTCCTTCCTCCTCCTGTGTTTGAAGGCAGGATCATCAGACAGTGGGCATTTTTATAATGGGAGAAGAGGAGGAGATTGGATTTACACCCCACCTTTCACTACCCGAAGGAGTCTCAGAGCGGCTTACAAACTCCTTTCCCTTCCCCTCCCCACAACAGACACCCTGTGAGGTGGGTGGGGCTGAGAGAGCTCTTGACAGAAACTGCTCTTGAGAACAGCTCTGAAAGAAGTTATGACTGACCAAAGGTCACACCAGTAGCTGCATGTGGAAGAGTAGGGAATCAAACCCAGTTCTCCCAGATTAGAGTCTGCCGTCCTAACCACTACACCAAACTGGCAACTGGAGTTGAGGATACCTCATAGGAGAGAACAGGGGAAATGTTGGGAAGGTTCAGGGTCACTGGGCAACTCCCTTGTTCTTTATACAGGCACTGTTCTGAATGCTTTGAATGTCGCCCCCCCCTCCCAATTGACATTGCCTCCTCTGTGCCTTGCAAATGGAACAGCCACCAGCAGTAAGCTGCCCATTTAGCAGTAACACTTAACATACAGGGCACTGGGTAAAGGAAGGCAGACCTCCTCCAAGCATTTGACAGGATAGCTTTACATACATACATGCACCCGAAGGAGCGAGTGTAAGAGTGGGGAAGATATGGCACCTTACTCACATGTCCCTGCAGGTGCTACTGAATGCTTTCCACCAGGGGTCAGATTCCTCTGTGGAGGTCATCGACTGATCCGTGTATTTCTAGCCCAAAGAGAAGGGTAGAAGGTAAAGCTTGGAGGAGGCAGCAACGCAGCACCCACAGTGCAAGAGTCTGTGGCCAGGGCAGAGCAGAAGCGGCAGCAGGAGCGCAAGAGAGTGAGGGACACAGTGCAGAACAGAAAGGTAGCCGTGTTGAGACAAAAGACCCAGGGCAGAGAGACTGTGGCAGTCGTAAGGTAGAGAACAGAGTCAAAGACCAGGAATGGATCAATGCTCCCAGGTCTAAGGGACGGCAACAAGCTGCTGGAATGCTCCCTCCTCTCTGCAGTTACCTGGTGGAACTCATAGGCAACACCTTCCCCAGCTGCCCGGCACCAGGCTGTGAGCTGCTCTTCAAACGCCTGCAAGACAGACCGTGGGAAAGTGAGTGATTCCTGAGTGAAGATCCTGATTTCAGTCTGGCTTGTCATTCCATAAGCCTCTCAATTTATCCCATAATATTCTGCTTTCCACCTTTACCAGTTCTAGCCACATAACGGTACAAATCAGATGCTTCTTAAAAAAAAAAAAAAGCTTTAATCAGTGTCCCGAGTTGGCGTAAGGCCATGCAGGGTCTCCGATGATCCCCTTATTGGTTGCGCTAGTGAGGTCTCTATTTTCTTGCAGCCTGTTGCTGCAAATGCTTTCTTGCATTTGGAAGGAATGACCTGCCTCTGCTGTTGCGTCTCAGATAGAACAAAGGACAGGAGAATGGGACTGGGCCTCAGGACCAGTCCTTCTGGTTCTCTCAGCCACAGCCAATCAGGGCTCCAAGAAACCGCTACATCATCCAATAAAAAGCTTTAACAATAAAAAGCTTTTAAACAAACAAAAAAATGTTTAAAATGGATTACATTATCCTGACAATAAAAAGCTTTTAAACAACAGAAACCGCTACATCATCAACTGCAACCAATGCAAGGAGAGATCTTTCTTAATAGTTCAATTTTTTTTAATAACATGTTTTCAACTCTTTTTTTTTTAATGTGAAGGACCCTGGAAAATACAGCTATAAGAATCACAGTCCAAGACACATTCCAGGCAGCTCCCAGGAGGTATCATAGATTCCAGGCAACATCTCACAGACTGAAAACTGCTCACCATTTCTCTACCTGTTTCTCTATTGTACCTTTAAATCCACTGTGGGTGGTATGCGGATGTCAAAGCCAGCAGACATCTCAGAGGGGACCACATTGAAGGAGATGCCCCCATTCAACATGGTTAGGTTAAGGGAGGTTACATCGCCTAAGGTAAGGTGCTTCTCTGATTTCAACCTGTGTGAAGGAAAGGACAAAGTCTTTCACCCCACCTTGGTGAAACTCTGGAAGCTTCTTCCTAACTTCCAGAGATTGAAGAGCCACCCCAACAGCACATTCTTGGGCTCAAGCTCATTTTCCCAAACATCTGTAGGAACCATGGGCATTTGCAAAAGGCAGAGTGACTAACAGCCCTATCCACAGAAAATGGACTGCATAAAATACCTCTCTCATACATGATAACAGTACTTTGCAAGAGTTCTTGAAGCATACACATACCCTGCTTCTGACACTCTATTTCTGTCCCAAGTGTGGCTGATACTACCAAAGCACCCATGTCCTCCGCTACACAGAGTTGGAAAACTGTTGATGAATATCACACCTGCACCTTAGCTGAGGTGCTTAAACTGTTCAGACTGTAGCAAGCCATGCACCAGTAGGGTCCACTGAACAGTATCAGAAATGGAACTAAAAGACGGGCTGATCCTACAATGCCCTTGTGAATCAAAAACTCTACTGATTGCTCTGAAAACAAGCTAATAACCTTTGCATGCCGATAAATAGCAAATTATAACTGGAAGCAAATAATAAATCTATCATACAACTACGTAATTTGCAAACAGAACTGGCAAAAGTTGTCATAATGTTGCACAATACTTGTTTCTAATTGTTCATTGTGCTTTTATTTTTATATTGTCTTACATCATTTTGCTAGGCTGGCCATTATTACTAACATGCTATTGTGCATGGAAAGATGGGAGACAGCAGTTTGTCTATGGCCACCTGGTGAGTTCGTGGGATAGGAACCTTCTTAATGATTATGCTACACCAGTTCCCAGTTTCATTATACACATGGGATAGGAACCAGAAATTTGGATGTCTCCTTCTTAATGATTAGGCTACACCAGTTCCCAGTTTCATTATACAAAAGGATAAACTGAGCAACAAATAAATGGAGATGTCTGGCCCAGTGCCACACAGGGTGTGAACAGCAGATGCAGGAAGCAAAACTTCAAAGTCTCGGACTCTGCCTTCAGACAGATGGCCACTGATGATTAAAGAACAGCCCACTTTATGCATCTGATGAAGTGTCTGTCTCCATAGGAAGGGCCATGTCATAATCAGTTTCACTTCTGAGTTATCAAAGCACTTTTTCTTCTTTTTGTGCTTCTGTAGACAAACACAGCTACTGTTATGGTGTAATTTCCCAATGGTAACTGTGTTGGTCTGCAGTAGAAGAGCAAGATTCGAGTCCCATCTGACGGAGCTTTGACTCTTGAAAGCTTATGCCCCGGGACTTGAATCTTGCTCTTATGGCATAAGTGAATGAAAGTAAGCCCTGGAAGAGGTCAGGGAAGAAAAATCTGGCTTACACTACAGGCTTCCCCCTCACCTTTGTTTTTCACGCTCTCTGAACTCTAGGAAGGAAGTGATCACTCTGTGCTGTGGATAGGAAAGTACAAGAGTCAAATCAAATAGAGTACAACCTACCAAGCAAATACCAGATTTTTAATGTAAGATGTCTAGTACCTGGGAGATGTCAAGTCTACACTTCCCCAGAGGCAGTGCGTCTGGCTTGTGCAAGATGATGCTTATGAAGGTAGCCTGACATCTGCTTTCACAGCAGGTCTAAGAAACCGACTGTCTCCTGTGGCCTCACACAAGCAGCCCCTCTCCGCACCCTGCCTCTAGCCTTTACAGGGTGTTCTCTTACCAGCTTTTCAGCAGCTGTGTCCTCAATGAATCTAGATCCATGTCCAGGGTTCCCTTCTACTTTCACTTTAATCCCTGCAAGTATGAAGGAGAGGAAGAGCAAAATGAAAGGCAAGCAGAACAAGGAGAGAAGCACCATGTGGCCCAGCTACAAATGGAGCTGGAACCTCTTGCAGCAGAATTTCCAAAGTATATGGGTCACGATCAAAAGGAGCAACACCTACACTGAAAGGAGAACTGCTTCCACGCTTCCCACTGTCAAGGAGAGCGCTTGCTTTGAAAAGTGGGCTGTGGGCTCTTCCTTTAGCAATGGGAATGACTGCAACAGAAGAATTCACAACTTTGTGAGAGGAGGTGTTGTGATATCGTAGTTAGAATATCAGACTGGGACATGAGGGGAAGGGGGATTTTAAGCCTTCCCCATGCCATTTCCCCCACTTGAAAACAGTTGGGGTGCTATTTCCCCTGTTATGAAGACTTACATGTTCTGGTTAGTACACAGAAGCTTCATAACATGGCGAACAATAACCCACTGGGGCCATTTGAGATTGGGAAACAGTGCAGGGAGGGGTGCTTTAAAAATCCTCCCCTGGTGCCAGTCTGAATTGGTCCCAGCCCACCTGGTAAAAAGCCTTAAAAAACACTGGGAGCTCCTGACATGGAACTCCCAGTGTATCTTCTAGTTTGTAACATGGAGTGCACCATCTAGTTATGTCCTGTGTAAAAGCCTAAAAAACAACAACAAAACCCACCACCACCACACACACACACTGGTAAAAGCCTTTTAAAAAACCACCAGGAGCTCCTGACATGGAACTCCAGCATACCATCTATTTAGGTCCTGAGAGTCACACTAAAAATGGAATTCCTCTGAGTAAGCAAAACATTGTTTAAAAGAATTTAAATTCCAAACCTTACGCAAATGTTTATACAAAAGATTTAAGAAAGCGATAGCAAGAAAGCAGTTGCTAATGGAAAGAAATAGGGCACAGCCAGCTGGAAGAGAAGCAGGGTCTTGGCACCAACAACTCCAGCGCATCTTTATAGCACATGATCCAACTGCTGGCTCTCTTAGGAGATATCTATACTTCTACTCTTAAAACATACATCACTGAACATTATCAATCATGTTTAAGTGACAGTCAGTACCCACTGGTGTATTTCTTCATTTTTGAATACTCATTTTTAAAAGGTGCAGGATCATTGGGGTTCATGCACGAATGTCAATTTTTTGATGCACACGGATAGCAAAATTCAGATATAAGAACATAACAGAAGCCATGCTGGATCAGGCCAATGGGCCCATCCAGTCCAACACTCACATAGTGGCCAAAACCCAGGTGCCATCAGGAGGTCCACCAGTGGGGCCAGAACTCCAGAAGCCCTCCCACTGTTGCCCCCCAAGCACCAAGAATACAGAGCAGATATGAATACTTTGTAAAGCTGCAATTCAACAGAAGCAGTCACAAAAGCTGTTAGCTGAATATTTTGAAGTATAAAAACACTTTAAAAAAAGATGTGGCTAAGGGCCAAACAACACACAAAGCTGAACTTCTGTGGCTGCAATTCCAGATGTGCTGCTTGGCCCTATAAAAGAGCCATGGGGGCCCCCGATCAGAATCACAGCCACTACACTGGGGAGGGGGTGTTACCTTTCCCCCACACAGCCCAACTGGAAATGGCTCCCCACATGCTCTTTAAGTCCTAGTAGGGGTAAAAAGAGATTCATTTGTTGTGGCCGTCTACTGAGATTCACAGCAGTTGGTGGGGGCATTTTGATCAGAGAAATAAGACAGGGTAAGAGTTTAATCTCCCTTGCCTAGCACCATGATCATGTTTCTTACAGGGGCATCTCCACAACTGTTCTTGACAGCAAATTATAAGTGTGGAGTTTCAATCACAGAATTCCAATGCCATGCGTACTCTGTCCCCGTGAGGGTCTTATATTCCAAATACAGCCCAGTAGTGTAACTTTAAATCCACAGATTACAATCTGTTGCAAAAGTGAAAAACATCTGTGGCTAAGAATCTTATATATTCCACTTCAATACCGACAGGAAGCTGGCCCAATTATCTATTTTGGCTCCCCCAAGAAGATTAAAATCTTAATAAAGGATTACATATGTGTTTTTCACAACTATGACATATGAATGGCAAAACTCCAGAACAGTTTGGAAGAATTTGTGCATTCACTGTGAAACACACACACATGTTAGTTTTCTTATAAAGTTTTATCTGCATTTTTAGTACAGTTCTTAAGATGTGTATCTTTAAATAGAACAATGAGAAATAGATAGAAGGCATGTTTTTAGAAACTACAAATGGGTAGAGGGGCTGTGGCTCAGTGGCAGGACACTGCAGAAGGTCCTAGGTTCAGTCCCTGGCATCTTTGGCTAAAAATGCTCTTGGGAAGCAGGAGGAGGAAAAATATTGCTCTGCCTAAGACCCTGCAGAGCCACAGCCAGTCAGAGTTAGCGATCTGGACCAATGACTCTGCAGCTTCATACAAGATGGAATCCTAAATCTTACTTACACCATGGGCATTTCTCACCATAGAATACAGTGAAGGTGTCTGATGGGTTCGCCAGACCTACAGGGAAACAAAAGACAGAATTGGCAATATGTTTGGCTAGAAGATACAGTAGGCTTTCTGTGATATCTTATACGCAAGGAAGCCACAGCAGTGGCAATTCTGAATCAGCTAAGTGGCCAAGGCATTCATTAGTCTTAGGCAGGTCAAAATGTTCACATCCTTGTGCCTCAAAAGTGGAGCAGAAGGGCCCTGACCTGGATAGCCCAGCAAGCCTGATCTCGTCAGATCTCAGAAGCTAAGCAGGGCCAACCCTGGCAAGTATTTGGATGGGAGACCTCCAAAAATACCAAGGCCAGGAGGCAGGGGCAGGCTATCAAGCCATTTCTCTAAACATCCTTCATGCCCCAGTAGGAGTCACCAGAGGTTGCCATGACTTCCAGTCCAGGCACAGGGGCGTGCGCACACACGCACACACAAATGCAAAAATACCCAAAAAAGTGGAGCAGAAGACTCCTTTTTCTATGGTAGCTAGCTTGTGCCCTAACAGGACTCTTCTCTCTCTTAGGTTGAAGGAAGCAGTAGGTAACCACCAAGGACCATCTCTTCAGCAGGAGGGAAAGCAGATGGACAGGCTAGTGACATCAAAAGATCCCACCTGTCCCCAACGGTCAGTTGATGCTTGTTGATGGGGGGGAGGGGTTCACTGCAGCCCTCAAGAGACAACAGCTTGGGGGAGAATTTTCCCAGCTTTGTCCCTCCAGTAGTGCTGCAAAGATGGCTCATTTTTCCTCCCCCCACCCCCACTCGTCTTGGCCCCAAGGTCTGATCTGCAGCAAACTTGCTGGAGCAGAACAAGACTGGGGCATTGCCAGGATGGGAGACCTCCTGGAAACCTTATCATGCTGTCTTGAATTGTATGATGAAAGAAAGAAAGGGTATAAATGGAATAAATAATTATGGAAAGTCAGGCATGAATCTCTCCTTATATATAATTGTGAAGTGGAGTGGCACTTTCCAGCTCTCCCATTGGCTGTGAAATGTGCTCCCTCAGCCATTGGCCCATCAGCCGCCACTCAAGAGTACTCATGTGCCATTGGCCAGGTGCTGGGTCTGCTCCTCTTCCCCGCCCACTTCCCCTTCAGCCACTGTGCCCTGTCAGAATTACTGGCAAACAGCTTTCTCTCTTGACAAAGACGCTTCTCCTGCTTGCCTCCTGTGCAGGACTAACTTCCCCCTCAGTGGCTGTTGTGAGGAACGCATTGGAGCCAGTCCTGACTAGGGTTGCCAGCTCCAGGATGGGAAATTCCAGGCTATTCTGTGTCTAAGGAAGCTAGTGTAAGGAAGCCAGAGTTCGGAGAGGGGAGAGGAGAGGCCTCAGCTGAATAGAATGCCATAGAGGCCACCATCCAAAGCATTTATTTACTCCAGGGGGGGAAGAGATCTGTTGTCTGGAGTTCAGTTACGATAACCAGCGATCTTCAGGCTCTACTTGGAGGTTCGCTACTCTAGGCACAGCAGTTAGTGCTTCAGAGCAGGGTCTGCCAGACCCAGGTTCTTGCCGTGGAAGCTGTGATTTCGGACCACTCACAGACTGGAAGTTACCTGTGTTTGTAAGATGGCTGGTGTCTGTGGTTGTTTGTTTAAAATGTTCCCCCATAAGGTTTAATTGAGCCATCCCCCCCGCCGTGAGCTAATTAGCATCCTCGCCGTTAATACGATCTCCATTAACGCATGCGCACATAACTCTCCCAGTCTGTCACAGCGCCGATAGGAGCGCCGCGTCTTGAGTAGGCCGGGTCTGGACGAAACTTTCCGTCAGTTCCTGCTTTAGGCAGCATTTAGCCAATTACGCGTCACTGTATTCGACTTCCATCTCGTCTCCATGGCGACAGCAGAAACCCGCCTTTTCCGGCCCCTTGTGGGAGCCGCTTGTTCCTCAATATGGTGAGCTGCCTTCTTTGCACACTGAAGGGTGGAAAGGGTTTGAAGGGTGATCGTTAGATATTGAGTTCTGTTGTGCATGAGCGTATACACAGCCAGTGTTTAGGATGCACCCAAAGATGGGTGCAGAGTGAGACTGAGAGCTTCTGCGCTCCGCAGTCAATGGATGTGGGCGTAATTGGGGCTGTTTGTTTTTTTCTGGGGTGGGTTATTAAGTGGGGAAGGAGACGATACACAGTCTAAGTGTGTTTGGCAGGGATTGGAGTGAATGAATGTCAGCTGCTACTGCTGTCTTTTAAGCTGAGACTCAGCCTCTTTTTCCTAAAGTGTAATACAATTACATGATGCTAAATCTAGCATATAAATTTGTTACTCTTTTAAAATCTAGAGAGAGAATAGGAATGGTTCTTTGAGCACCTGAGCAAAGGGGGGTAAGAGAGCAGAACAGATGGGACCAAATACTATGGAAAATCAAAGAAGTGGGTTTTTAAACCACCATCATTTTCTCTACACATGAAATCTAATTTTTCAATTCTTGACATGTTTGGCTACTTTATTCCTTCTGGCCTAACTGGTTACATTTTGGAGACAGAAGTGGGGTGAGTGGCCTGGGGAGTAGAAAATAGATGAGGCCCAAACTAATACAGAGCTATCAGACTGTGGCAGACACACGCTGAACAGATACCAATACTTTGCTAGCTTCTATGTATTTCCTTAGACACCTGCTTCTTGGTTTATTGGAGATCTGCCTCTAATGAAAGTATCCCTTGATCCAAAAAGCCTACCAGTACAGTCCTAAGCAGAGTTACTCCCTTCTAAGTCTATTGAAACCAACAGGCTTAGGAGGGTATAACTCTGTTTAGGATTGCACTGTGGGTCATCCCATCTCCAGCTCAGCCACTTTCAGGTTCTACCACTCTGGGCAGATGCTAGGAAACAACTGGCTGCTTCTTTATGTCCCACTATTTAACTTACCTGGGACAAAGCTCATATGAACTGTTCTTGGGAAATGTCTCCCTTCAGCTTTCAGCCTCCGGATGGCCTCTATGTATCTAACGAGAAAGAGGTTTTGTTTAGTGGTTGCTAAAACTTCCGGGGACACAGGGATACTTGACCCGTACTCAGTCAGGACTGTACCCAGAGAAAGGCATGATGAAGGAGATGAAGCATCTGATTTAAAGAAAAGCCATGCCGGGAGTGAGGGGAGCATAAGGACTACCATAGTTAACAAAAGCTTGGATCAGAATTCCCTCGCACCTAAGACATGCCTTGCAGTTCAAAATGGAAGCAACCTGCTCCTATACACTTAATACATAAAACAGTTCCAAAAATCTCTTTTTCACTCCCAGACATGTAACAACAACACACCAGCTCACAGTTGTGTCTGGGCAGCCCACTTATTCCAGTTTTCATTGAGGGTACCAGACCAGTAATAACTACTTGATACAAGTCATAAGATTATTTCATTCATTCATTCATTCATTCATTCATTCATTCATTCATTCATTCATTCATTCATTCATACCCTACCTTTCTCCCCAGTGAGAACCAAAAGTGGCTTGCATAAATCTCCTCTCCTCCTTTTTATCCCCACAACAACCCTGTGAGGTAGGTTAGGCCTGGAGTGTGACTGGCCCAAGGTCACCCAATGAGCTTCCATGGCACAAGTGGAGATTTGAACCTGGGTCTCCCAGATACTGGTCTGACAGTCTTGACCGCTATGCCACACTGGCTCTCCACATTACCTTGATCACTGACTTCCATCCCTTCTACAGATTCATGTGGATGTAACTAAAGTGAGTACTTGATGTGGTAAGGTGGAAAGATCCTCTCAGCCATGCTTCCCACTTCCCATCACTCTCCAATGCAGAACTGGCACAGAAACCCTTTTAATTAGCACAGGAAAATTCCACTATACAACAGAAATGTGACAGGGAAGGTGGCTGGACTTACTGAATGGAGACACATTTCATATCCTGAGCTCCACGAGCATAGATGTTTCCATCAGAGTCCTTGAAAGCTGCAAAGGGGTCACAGCACCAATAATCCTGCAGGAATGGGAAAACAGCACAGAGTACCCCTTAGAAGATGGATGAGGATGCTGGAGGATACAAGGCTACACAAGAATGGCACCCTAGGGAATGCAACAAAGCTGTGAGGAGAAGGATGTCTCTGGAGCTACTTCTGGACTGAACGGAGTGGCAATCTGCCCCTAAGCAAAGGGAGGTGGAGACAAGATGACAAGGACAGGACAGCTGTATGAGAACATAAGAGTAGCCATGAGACTCATGGTCCATCTACTCCAGCCTCCTGTTTCACACACTGCCCAGCCAGATGCCACAGGAAGACCCACAAGCATGGCATAAAGGTGCCTCCCTCTGTTGATGCCTCCCTGCACTGGTATTCAGAGAATTACTGCCTCCCTATATGTTCCATTTAACTACTGTGGCTCATACCCTTTGATGGATCTATCTTCCTTGAATAAGCAAAGCCTGTACAGAAGTTGTTAGGGAGCTCATCCCCCTATGCCTTGGAGAATCAACCACTAAGAGGCTAAATTAGAGAAGCAGAGAGGTGTAAGCTTCACAACTCAACCTGAACCCAAACCAAGACAAACGCAAAAAGGGCTTTTCTCAGCAGCAGCAAAGGATAATACAGAAGAATTGGTTCTCTCAAAGATTCATTTAAACTATGAGCCTTTCACGATTCAAGTCCAGGGGACTGAAATCAACAGAAATTTTTCACATTTCTAACATCACAAGTATCGGTTCTTTGAGTGAAGAGCTGCTCTGAATCAGCCATCAAGTCCTACCTGAAAAGGGCCTCATGTTAACTCGGCCCCTTCAGTGCTGCCTTAGGGCCAAAGGACAGAGACAATTACCTCAAAATGGAGTTCCCACTGTCACTCAGTGGAAGGAGACCACACCACAAGTTGGCTACAATACTGAAGCAGATTCATTAGAAGTTGTGTTGGCTACAATACTGAAGCAGATTCATTATCTGCTCAGTCCAACCCAGTCTGAAAAGACACCGAGGAAAAGCCTGTATAATTTCATCCAGATGGTTTCCGGTGGTTGGCCATGACAGATAAGAGTTTTTAAAATAATGCTATTTAGCTCATTCTTTGTGGGAAAAGAGTTCTTGGGAGCCTGGTATAACTGTTTTAGAGAAGCTGTTCCATAACCTACCATGGTACCACCCAAAGGTCTTGTACATCTTTATTTTTCCCCTGAAGTTGGCACTCTGTTCCCACAAACCCAGGAACATATCGAAGTGCCTCTGAATGAAGTGACAGAATTAATTTTGTCAAAGATATCATGCACCCTCTTCACCTGAATTAATTCAGAATGGACTTTGTTGTACTAAACCATCTAGGATGGCACTGGTGTTGATATGGTAAGTAGGGGTGTGTGAGAATGCATTACACCTACATAAGCACTGTAACCTACATCTACTGTGGGTTCAAAACATAGGTGAGACAGGAGGAGGATTTCTCTTCTGGAGCAAAATATCCTGTCACCGGGAATTCTAGATAAGAACACGCTCAGACCAACAACATCTATTCCCCAAAGCCAAATCACAAGTAGCCGGAAGATTAGAAAGCCTTCAACCCCTAACCTGCCCCTCCTTCACTAACCTCAAACACAGGCACGACATCTGTGTGGGAATTCAGCAAGATGGAACGGAGTTGTGGGTTTGTGCCTTTCCAGGTCAGAATGGTGATCACACGGCCAGGGCAAACCTGCAATAGAAAATTAGGTCAGCAGGGGATTGTTCTTCCTTTCTTTGAAGCTGTATGGATAGAAAGATCTCTAAGAAAGTTCCTATACACTGTACCACAAAACCTCTTTTTATAAGAAGGGGGCTCCATATAATGGCAATAACGGTATCAAGAGGACTCTTGTATTACTATGTGGAGACCCTGTTTGGTATTCTACTTTTTATAGCTTGGATTTTGCAGCAATCTGAAGATTTGAATGGGGGTTATTATTCTTTCCCCCTTCTTAGAAAGACAAGAGGATCATTCTATTAATTCGAATGAGAAGCTGGGAGACAACAGACACTCACTTGCTCCCTGTGGGAAGTAATATCATCTTAAGTGAACAGGCAAGAGCACATTCAGAAGAGAGTTGGCTCAATGTGCCACACATGACAAGTTTAAGAACATCTAGGCAGGCAGCTGTAGGGGGACTCTATGGACTAGTAATTTCTGTCCACTTATTTGCAAGGCTGAAAGAAGTCAATTCATTCCATGAAAAGACGCTATGGATAGGATATAGCATCACAGGCAGAATCAGTATGACCCTCAGAACCCAAAATAAAGACAGAACCCGTCCAAGAGGCAAGTCAAGACGTTCCAAGAAGCTCCCTCCGACGCAGGTCCACATCTGCAGCTCGGTTTCTGAGGACATAATAAAAAACAGTACTTTCTAACCACAGAGATTCCTCAGGGGTCCAGAGGAGCTACAGAACTTCTAGGAACAACCAACAGATTCAGGAAGACTGTTAATTGTTGGTACAGTCTTTAAAAATGTCCTTGGTTCTCACAACAAATGCTAGATTAGAGGCAAGCCGGAAGATTGTTAACTGTCGGTAGTCTTTAAAAATGTCCTTGGTTCCCACAACAAATGCTAGATTAGAGGCAAGCCTCAGTTCTCGAAGTGATTTAACTTCACTAATGAATGCCTCTTTCAAAAATTAAAAAGATATGATTTGCAAGGGGTATTTTACCTATCTGAGGTAGGCCAATTTGGGAGAGGAAAACTGGGCATTCCCTATACAAGAGAAAACCAACATCATTTTTATTCTTTACAATTCAAGCTTGTTTTACCCCCCTTAATTTTTGTTTTTTGTTTGGCACAATGTTCATTTGTAATAATTATCTGTCTAAATATGACACATCAAGTTAGAAAGGTCAGTCTAGATCTATTCAGGAATAGACTGAGAACCTGTAATAAGGGATTAATGGAATACCAGCTCTGCAAGGGATTAAAGACTGAGAAAGGTTTGCTGCAAACAGTAAAGAGCCAACAGAAACTCCACCATTATCAAAACTTTTCACATAGCATATTTTTGATCAGATGTCTACCAGATCACAAACCTCAGGCCCCCCATTCATCAGACCACAGAGATTCAAGGCCTTGATCCAAGGGCTCCTAAAGAACAGACAAGAACTAAAACCACTGAAGTTTCTATCATATGGAATAACTACTAGTCTCTGATGGTGTAATGCACCCTGCTTATTTTTACAATCATCTCCAAAGATAAATGTATCAAAGGGCCCTCTGCAAATAACTCCCATTGTTTCAAAAACAAGAACTCCCTCACATGTAACTGCAGTGGCGTGGAAGCCACTTCCCTGTGCAATCCTACACAACAGTGGGCTGTAAGTGACTGAGACAACTGCATGGATGCCCCTTATCAACATCAGTTTTCCTCATGTTTTTGGCAACCCTTCTTTCTGGCCAAATGTTGATGGGGGTAGGGAAAAACCATACAATCAGCCTCAGTTACGTAGAGGCATTATTACATGCAGCCTCAGGGGATCGCACCATGGTAGCTCCTCTTACCACTGCTGTACCTATATGTAAAGGATGCTGTAGATTGCACAAGGCCCTGGGGAAAAGAACACACTAAAGACACAACGCTAATAAGGATGAGCTGCTGATCTCACACAACATGCAGCATAACAAGGAAAAAAAACTCCATCCTCTTCTAATTGCCCACTCTGCCCCTCCAGTATGCTAATAAGTTTACTTGTTTTTCTGTTAAAGAGATAAAATGGAATCTGATGTTACACATGCTCGGGTCACTTTTAATGATTTTCCTGCACGCTTCCAACTAGTAGGCCCTTTATTCTATGCAGCTGTGACAAAATGGTGCAGAATTGCTTTGAGTGTGTTCTACCCTTTGCACAGACCAAAGTGAAATCTTGAAGTGAAAAGTTTATGGAAAACAACAGCAGTTACAGGCACCTTTGAACCAAAAGATAACAAAATAAGGAGGCAATGACAATATTTATCAGAGAACTCTTAGAGAAAACAAAAACCAAATAGCCCTGCCATTTGCTGATATAAGAGTGGGGTTGACCATAGGCTCAATTCCCCCTTTATGCTTATCCCCCCCCCCCATTTAATATCTACTGGGAGAAGTCATCAGGAGGTTTGAGGCGTGCAGTGTCACCAATATGCAAAATGATACCCAGCTCTACCTTTTGTTTTCCACCAAATTCCGAGGATGCTGTAAATGTTCTGAACTGATGACTAGAGACAGTAATGGGTTGGAGGAGGGTGAACAAAGTGAAACTTAATCCAGACAAGACAGAGATTCTCTAGGTTAGCAGAAAGACAGACCAGGGCTCTCCCATCTTGGATGGGGTTACACTCCCCTTGGTTAGGAATGCTTTGGCTGGCACATCAACTTCATCTGTTCCTGGCTCTGATCTAGTCTGATCTAGGCACAGTGATCCGTACCTTAGTTACACTAGACTGGACTACTGAAATGCACTCTACTTGGAGCTACCCTTGAAGAGTGTTTGGAACAGAGAAGCTGCAAGGGGAGATTCCGGTGTGAGATTGCTGAACTTGAGTTCATTCACAAGTTCAGAACAATGGAACCCCCCCCCCCGCAAGACTGAATAGGGACTTAGGATTCTGATCTCACTACAGATGATAATTTTCTGCCCCCAAATATTGCCCCTTTGCTCTAATCAAGCTGATTATAATGCACACTCTACCTCTGCATCCTGAGTTCCCTTCTTTGCTATACCGCTCCCACCTTCTGACTGGGATACAAGGACTCAGAGTTATCTATTCTACTGCAGACCAACACAGCCGCACTCTGAAAATATTCAACTTTATTCCCACAATACTTCTACCTTAATTCCTTTCAGAACTATACACAAAACCATACTCCACAATAGCTCTGAGCAAAAATAATATTGGTTGTGAAGCATGGGAAAATGTTAAACATATCCAAAATGTGCTGACAAGACAGTGGACACAAACAAATGCCTCCAGCCATATACACTTTATGCACAAAGAGCCTTATTATTACTGCTGTTATTCCACAGGTGGTATTAATTTGTGTAAGACAAAGGATGCTTTCAACAACAATGGAAGGCAGGAATTTATGTGATGAAGAAATAATAAAGGCACATGGCCACTGCCAATTTGTTTGGTGACTGGTCAACATGTGCGTCAGTCCAAAAATGGTGAATAGTTTCTCCTGGAGACACTAACACACTTTTATAGCCATCAGGAAATTACGTTGGGTTGTGATTCCAATTTTTTAAGTCCATAATATTGATCTAGAGCTCATTCTTGGCTGGGAAGAGCATGGAGGACTGTTTGCCTATTTTAAAAATTAGTATTGCAGATTGGACAGAAGAAGGTAAATATTGTACCATTTAGGTTTTTTCCAGTAGGCTACACATTTTTTTCTACAATAATTAGGAGGCGTTTTAATTTGCAGTTGTTAAGTTAAATGTTTTATGTGTATCTTGATGAGTTGCTCATGTTGTATCAAGAATATTTGACACCACTTACTCCATTAGTGACCAGTGTGAGTAAGGTAGCCATCTCTGTCCCATTTACTTCAAAATATTTAAATTATTATGTTTCTTAACAGACATATAATTATTTTTCTCTTCTCTCCCCCCCCCCCATTTCAGGTCCATTCGATGTATGATTAGTTTTATGTATATCTTTAATTAATGGAGTGCTCGGTTTGAATTATATCACTGAGGAAGGCTTATTGCTGAAACGCATTTGGTATTGGTTTTTGCATATGGAAACTTTATATACCTTTTAACCTGTATTTATATGAATGGACATTTGTCTTTATATCAGGATTAGGTACTTATATGCTTAACCATAGGATTGTTATTTTTAAATGATACTTTACTTGCAATTGTATTATTAAATTATATATTATATTTTGTACTTTTGCACTCTGTGTACAGTTATATTTGACTTTCTTTTTCTTTGTTTCAACCTTTTTGGTTACCTTTGAACCTGGGACCTTCTGCATGAAAAGAAAAGGCTCCTTCATTGGGCCACAGCCCCTCCTCCAAAATGTACCAGAACTGGGACCAAATAATTTTCTTTAGCACAAGGCCTCCTACATAACAGGAAATTAGATGACATCTCATTCCCCAAGTCACAAGCATAGCAAGACCATATGATGTTGAACCAAGCATAGTCAGGCATCCTGGTGAAACACAGACACAAAGGTATGTCAACTACCTGGAGAAAACAGAGGCTTAATGGGATGCTATTTATCTCCATGCCACGAGAAGCTTCAGCTTTTTACTTCTACACATTAAGCCTCTATTAAGCTAAAGTGCCTAGGATTGCCATACAGGAGGCAAGATAGTATTGTGGGTAGAGTGCTGGGCCAGGGAGAAGTGGTTTTAAATTCTGAGACACTATGAGAAACCTGGAATAAATTACAAGGGCTGTTGACTGGATAAAAGGACTCCTCCAATATTCAGACTGAGCTGAGGGAGAGGGTGGGATACGAAGCTGATCAGTAAATAAAATATTCCTGTGGGGGAAAACCCTTGGCATTTGCCCATTGGACTGATAAGCTATTCAAATGTAAGTGTACATTTTTATTATAAGAAAGTTAAAATTCTGCTTTATTACAATAACTTGTGTATAATCCCTCTCTCCCACCCTAACCCTCATACTTGTTAAGGTACAGAATGAAACATGAGAATTTCATTTGACTGTAAATAATGAAGGAGAAATGAGACAACGCAGAGATAATCGCAGTTCACATGGGTTTGACAGTGTGCCACTGAAAAGCTACTTCCCCCCCACCCTGAAACAGCAAGCTACACATGACAGAAACAAACCTTTTTCAAATGGCTTATTGCAGAGTGATGAGTACAATACCTAGAAAACAATATGTCTATTTATTTTGGACTTGTTGAGAACAGGCCAGTCTGTAATAGTTTATGACCTGATGGAGCAGAAATATGTTGCTTCATGCAGTGGTTTATGACATTTGGATTAATTTATTGCATTATGATACCCTCTTGGATAACTCATCTGCTCTGGACTCCTTTCTGTTGGCTTTAGGCCAGGCAATGGGACAGAGACAGCCATGCTAGCTTTAATCAACAACCTCCATCTGAATGTAAATCAAGGCCATGCCTCTTTAGAACGTAAGAAAAGCCTTGCTGGATCAGACCAATCTGGCCACCCGAATCCATGATATAGTAACATCAAGACTAGACTACTTAAACGCACTTTATATTGTTCTCCCCTCAAAATCAACATGGAGACTCCAACTGGTGCAGAAGAACACTGCACCTCAGCTATTATTGGGAGCTAGATGGAACATGCATATTACACTTCCATTCTGCAGTCACTCCACTGACTGCCCTACAGTTACTTGGGTAAAGTGCTAGAAACTGTGGTCTATACTACTGTGTAAACCTTATGCTGCCTGTTGCTGTAAGTCGAATTCTACTGGGTAATTTTTGAATCCTTTCATTCGTCATGTTAATACTTATGCTTTGCTTCAGTTTGGTTTCCAGTTGTCCGGTTGGTTCCAGATTTCTACAATACAAATCCTATTGCATTGTTTCTTGGATGGCCTACCCTGTTGATTGTATTGACTTACTCTGTGTAACTCACCTTGAGTCCCAATGAGAAATGTAGGTTATAAGTAGTCTGAAGCTTGCGGAAACAAGCGAAGACAAATAAATATTAACCGGGCTGGACATTTTTCTCCAAGCCTGTAGGCAACCCTACAGACACAAAGTATGGGTGTTCACATGGCTTACCTCCACTTTCTGACACTGCAGGTTAAGTTCAGAAGCCATTCTCTCCAGGAATTTCACTGATGAGTCTGGAAGGAGGGAGAAAACCACTATAAAAACGACATATGCCCATGTAACTTTTTTTTCCTTAATTTCAAAAACCGTTCAAATTTATCACATCAATACCTAGCCCTTCTATGCTTTGTGCAGCATTCAGCAGTAAAACACTGGCCCCAAGGTAAATGGCAACTGGAGGGGAAGTCCTTGTAGACCAGTTCCAAAAAAGTCTCTTGTTGGTTGTGTCTTCCTTCCACATCTATCTTGCTCACTTGACTCCCTTGTTTTATGCCAAGCATGCTGCGCTTATCCATTTATGCATTTTCCTTTAAGCATTTACTGAGGAAATGCTTTACAGGTTTTATATGTTTGTCTCTCTCAAGCAGAACAGCAAGTTGCCTAAAGCCATCAAGCAATGTTGAGCCACACAGGACGTCCCAAGTCTATCCACAGTCCTAATCACTGAAACATACTTGTTCTTTATTGTCCAAGATGATGTACTGCTGTGATACACAACAACCTGCATCCTCCCACAAAGGAAAGGGGAAGGTTTGGACCCCACAACTACAAGATAGACTTCATAGAATTTCAAATATCATTTCAGCATTTAATTAAAATTAAGGCTCCACAACTACACTTACAAGGTTATTAATGGCAATTACGTCTCAGCTCTCCATGAACTGCAGAGACCTTGAGGGAAGGGAAAATCACTCATTTTTATTTTTATGCGCACAGACATTGTGGAAGAGGGACGTAAGGAGAAGAAGCTCCATATGAAGAAAAAGATTTCCCCCCCTTTCCTTCAACTCTCTACTATCTTACTGTATAGAACGTTGCTTGTAGAACAGATTGATAAAGACAAAACATGGAAATGTCTGCAAGCATCATGTTCAACATATTTGCCATTCATTACTGAAAGTTCTCAGGTCTTGTCCTATAACCCTTCCTGAAATACTGCAAACTCTTATCTTTTTCTGTCTTATTCAGCAAATGTAATACACTCACACAGGCCACTGTGGGAATATTCCAAGGATTTGGAAAATGCCTAGAGCAGGGTTACTCCATGTTCCTTGAGAAGGTGGAAGATAGCATGAAAGCAATTTCCACAAGGTCCCTAAACAAGATTCTATCCTAAGACTATTTTTGCTAGGCCCTCCCCCCCTCTATTTCAGAACATTTTTCAGGCCAAATTTTAAAAAGAAAAGAAAAATATTTTTTCTTTTACACTGGGGTGTCTCTCAGTAATGTTCTTGGCCAAGCAAATGGAAAAAGACTCTAACAGTCCCCTCTGCGGGATTCTTGTCCCAGCAGGGCCCCTTCTGCAAAACGGGGGGGGGGG